ATATTGACGATGTTACACTTTACCTCATAGGTAATCTTTGTACATCTGTTAGGTTCCCTCTGTTGTTAGTGTGATGTTTTTTTCATACTTCAGGTTTTATTATTAAACTCTGAGGTCCGCACAACTGAGATGTGCAAAATCTCGCCTTGCAGTACCCTAAAGAGCCCAGTATTTTTTGCTCCTTTAAAAAACGTATGTATACATATATATGCACGCATACACAAGCACACGAGTTTACATTGTTGTAGGTGCTATTTTCTAGTGGAATTCCATGTCTATGTGAAATTCTTCAATCGTGTAATAGTATTCGAGCTATTGAGCTCATCTGTAATGACTATTTAAATGTGGTCTTCCTTACCAAGGGGTGCGTGTAGCGGTGGTTAGAGCCGATCTGCAATATACATAGGTTCGATACCGTGTCTCAAGTTCACCAAAGCTTCCATCCATCCGTTGTCGGCAAATTGGTAACAAACCTATTCGGGGGGATAGCAGCACTGACCAGATACATCATCGTACCACCGTCAGTAATTGTATAAAGTAGATATGTACTCAGTCGCCTCAGACGAACTAACGAGGTTCCTCTTTTCTTTGTAATTTCCCACACTCGACGGACAATCTAGTACTTAATGGAATTGCATGCATGGCGCATCCCAAAAGAAGAGACTTACGGCGAGAGCCACATCCTTTTCGTTCTCCCTTGCGGAGCTGCTTCATTTCGCTAAATTTCCATGGATCAATTCACTTCGCCGCCGCCTAATATCAGCCGTGCCTAGACGACGAAGAGACCCCACCCTTATGAACCTTCTTTAGTGATTCTTTATACTTCCGCTGAGCAAACACGAGGTGTTAATTCATTCTTTATTGACGGGAAAGCTGCCTTCCGGCGTATTTAGCCTTCCTGAGAGCCTGTCAAGTTTGCTGAAATCTACCCAACCAAAACCTTAACAACCAAACAGAGAAAATTCTAAACTAAGATTTCCATAGCACTGCAAAGAAAATAACTTCTTCGCACACTCATCGCTTTCTACAAGTCTTCCACTGGGTATGTTACGCGGAGCTCAACCGCACAGATTTCACATGGAAACGTAGCACGAATTCAAGTCACACAGCAATCATTCATTCATTACATCTGGCAATCGTTACGAAGCAGTTGCGAATACGTAGTGAATCTGAGGTTGAAAAATGCCAGGAACAGCGACTCTTGACGTAGCTGCTGAGTTTAGCTTGCATATTGCAGATCCTGGTGGTGAAATTCGCAGGTATTCTTGAGATACGTCGTCGACCGTATAAAAAGCATCCATGTCTTCCCAATAGAAGTTCGTTCTGCGGCTACCAAGAAAGATAAGCGGTATTTTACCACATAAAAGCGGTTCTTTTCCCAAGCAATATCGAGCTATCATAAATTCCGAGAGATTAGATGTACTTTATTAGAAATATAGGTTCTGTAGATCTAAACACATTTTATTTTGGTACTGTAGTACTAAAAATGTTGAACGTTAATAAAATCACGATAAGATCCCGTGAACAGGGTTGAGCTGTTCTTCTTGTTCTATCTGTTTTCGCACTGCTAGACACTCAAAATTTACACTGACAAAGAAGATTAGCTTATCATACCCTACGGACAGAGAATTTATTGTGAACATGTGACAGATTAGCAATCGTTTTTGCTTTTGTAGCTTATACGACGAAAGGAATAGTGTGTCAGTGAATGACGAAGGTGGCTTGTCATACTCAAGACTATTTCTGGTGGGTTTCAGAGGAAATCATGGAAGAATCTTCGTATTGTTTCAAGTCACCGATGAGCAACTTCGGTTGTTCAATTTCTACAGAGATATATCTATTTGCAATGTAAGAACGAACCATCCTGCACTTGGTGACCAGCACGTCTTATGCGGCTGTTCGTTACGAAACGTCCGATTNCTACCAAGAAAGATAAGCGGTATTTTACCACATAAAAGCGGTTCTTTTCCCAAGCAATATCGAGCTATCATAAATTCCGAGAGATTAGATGTACTTTATTAGAAATATAGGTTCTGTAGATCTAAACACATTTTATTTTGGTACTGTAGTACTAAAAATGTTGAACGTTAATAAAATCACGATAAGATCCCGTGAACAGGGTTGAGCTGTTCTTCTTGTTCTATCTGTTTTCGCACTGCTAGACACTCAAAATTTACACTGACAAAGAAGATTAGCTTATCATACCCTACGGACAGAGAATTTATTGTGAACATGTGACAGATTAGCAATCGTTTTTGCTTTTGTAGCTTATACGACGAAAGGAATAGTGTGTCAGTGAATGACGAAGGTGGCTTGTCATACTCAAGACTATTTCTGGTGGGTTTCAGAGGAAATCATGGAAGAATCTTCGTATTGTTTCAAGTCACCGATGAGCAACTTCGGTTGTTCAATTTCTACAGAGATATATCTATTTGCAATGTAAGAACGAACCATCCTGCACTTGGTGACCAGCACGTCTTATGCGGCTGTTCGTTACGAAACGTCCGATTCCGAACGGAGACCTACAGTGCAATCTCTTTGGTAAAATTAAAAACTATTGACCATAGTGTGAATGATTTCAATTCACTCATTTTTTACCATCGTCTAGCAAACTTGGACATCCTATGCGTAACACATAAGAGCTTAGACTTCTGATAAAGTCAGATAACTGAGGAGGCACTTTCCACTGTGGTTTGAGTGGCTACGAAATTTTCAGATTTCTGATTAAGAACGTATCATTTAATACTAGTTTTGACGGGCAAAGCAGATAAAGCCAAAGAATGCCGTTTTTAAACTAACTTCTGATGCATTGCTATGATTTCAATGCGTTCGATCATAGTCTTCTTCTTGTTTTACGCATCATAGGACACACCACATCATAGATGGTAATACGGCACATCATATCACTAGTGTCCCTTTCTCTTGCCCACGCATCGCTTTCTGCTGCTGATTTGTGGATGTTATCAGTAGACTGGTGATGCATGTTCGGATTACAAACTTTCACTCCTTAGCCACAATGTTGTTGACATGCTTGCAAGACTCCGGACCGCTGGCGTCCACGGTGGGACCGAACACGTTATTACTCCTTCCGGGGACTTACGCGTTCACCATCACACCATGCGGGTCCTTCGTTTCGCATGTCTCGCAGCCGTCTTATTGACCTATTGACGTTGTCAGCAATCGCACGTCAACGGGATTAATCTTGGGAGCACAAATTGGCACAAACCTAGTTAAGCCGAACCTACGGTATAAATCACAACGTTTTGTGCATACCAGATCAACCCCGTTGACGAGTGGTTGTTGATGGCAGTGGTAAATAGAGAACTAGCTAACAGACAGGCGAAATGAAAGACCCGCATGGTGTGGTGGTGAACGCGTTAGTCTCCACGAATGGTAATTGCTTATGTCTCCATCGTAGAAACCAGCAGTACGGAGTTTTGTAAATATCTCAGCAATACTGTGGTTATATTTCACTTAATACTTTGGCAGCAAAAGCTATTAGGCAGTAAATAAAGATTAACGACATTTGACTTCTTGGTTTCTCTTCATTTTCAAGATATGATTCTAGCTGTTTAATTGCGGTGTGATAGTATCGCCGCGCTGTGGAAATAACAGTACTGAACTCGCTGTATAGGAGCAAAAACTGCTTGGCATTCCACAGCTCTACTTTTTTCAGCGTAAGAGGCCTCCGATTCAGCTAAGAACAGACAAAGTAGTATGTTTAGTTCTCGCGATACGTACTAATTTCCCCTTTGCGTAGACGAAGTTATTGTTTAAATCTTCATCAAAGTCCTGCGCGCTCGCGTGACTCTTTTTGCCCTCTTTTCTGGGAATCTTGTTTAGGACGACTCGAATAAAGAACTTCTAAATAGTAGCTGGCATCAGACAGACTGCGCATTGGTTCGGATATCACATAAGTCTTCTTTTGTACAACAACAAGATTCCGTTGTTTATTCATTAACTGGGAAGCCTGAATTCCGAGATAAGAGGACAACTTGTTAAAAATTATGTTCTCATGTCTTCGAAAGAAAACGGTGTATCGCGGGTGCAATCCTGTGTGATGAGAGCGCTGCACTGTTTTTCTACTGACGAGGTGGTATATCGATCTATCCGTAAAGACCAGCGGCTAGGAAACATATCCATAATATCAGGTATGATAAGAAGGGTGCTTGATGCAGCTTAATTAAACCTGTTTGTTTCTAGCCCGTGTCATTGATGCTCTTTTCTCAAACTGCCTAGCTGTGAAAAATAGCTCGAGAGCAAGCAGCAGCAACACTGAATGAAAGTAAGCAAGTTTAAGAAAACGACCGAATTTTCAGCAGTTACAGCATTAAGATGGTAGACTAATGCGGCCACACGAGACAACCACTTCGTCCGATGAGGTAATGGAGAAGGTCTGCTTTATAGCAACTGCATCGAGCACCCTTCATACCATATCTGATATTACTGATGTGTTTCTTAGCTGCTTCTCTTTATGGATAGATCGATCTACCAGCTCGTCAATAGAAAAACAGTACATCACCCTCAACACACAGGTTTGAACCCCGAGATACACCGTTTTCTTTCGAAGGTGTGAGAACACAATTTTTAACAAGTTGTCCTCTTATCTCGAAATTCAGGGTTCTCAGTTGAAGAATAAACAACGGAATCTCGTTGTTGTACAAAAGGAGACCTACGTGACATCCGAACCAATGCGCAGTCGGTCTGATGTCAGCTACTCTTTAGAAGTTCTTTATTTGAATCGTCCTAAACAAGATTCCAAGAAAAGTGGGCAAAAAAGAGTCAAGTGAGCGAGGAGGATTTTGAAGAAGATATAGTACAATAACTTCATCTATGCAATAGAGAAATTGGTAAGTATTGCCAGAACTAAACATGCCACAAGGTAAACCTTTAGATAGCTAAGTAGCCTTTGCCACTACACGGCAAGTTAACTGCCATTATTTTCAAAACACGGTGATACAATCACACCATAATTAAACCATGAGAATCTTAGTTAGAAAATGAAGAGAAACGGGGAAGTTAAAGTTGGTGATCTGAACGCACATTACCAGTCTACTGTTAACGTCGATAAATCAGCAGCAGAAAGTGATACGTGGGCAAGAGACACTAATGATATGATGTGTCGTATCACTGTCCGTGATGTGGTGCGTCGTATGATGCGTGGAACACCGACGGTGTTAAATGGCCATCATATGATCACTAACGACTCTCTGGGTAACGGTAATATGCTTGTGGAACCAAAACAGATATCCTGAGGATTTTTTCCCGTTCAAGAAGAAGACTATGATCGAACGCATTGAAATCATAGCAATGCATCAGAAGTTAGTTTAAAAACGGCATTCTTTGGCCTTATCTGCTTTGCCCGTCAAAACTAGTATTAAATGATACGTTCTTAATCAGAAATCTGAAAATTTCGTAGCCAGTCAAACCACAGTGGAAAGTGCCTCCTCAGTTATCTGACTTTATCAGAAGTCTAAGCTCTTATGTGTTACGCATAGGATGTCCAAGTTTGCTAGACGATGGTAAAAAATGAGTGAATTGAAATCATTCACACTATGGTCAATAGTTTTTAATTTTACCAAAGAGATTGCACTGTAGGTCTCCGTTCGGAATCGGACGTTTCGTAACGAACAGCCGCATAAGACGTGCTGGTCACCAAGTGCAGGATGGTTCGTTCTTACATTGCAAATAGATATATCTCTGTAGAAATTGAACAACCGAAGTTGCTCATCGGTGACTTGAAACAATACGAAGATTCTTCCATGATTTCCTCTGAAACCCACCAGAAATAGTCTTGAGTATGACAAGCCACCTTCGTCATTCACTGACACACTATTCCTTTCGTCGTATAAGCTACAAAAGCAAAAACGATTGCTAATCTGTCACATGTTCACAATAAATTCTCTGTCCGTAGGGTATGATAAGCTAATCTTCTTTGTCAGTGTAAATTTTGAGTGTCTAGCAGTGCGAAAACAGATAGAACAAGAAGAACAGCTCAACCCTGTTCACGGGATCTTATCGTGATTTTATTAACGTTCAACATTTTTAGTACTACAGTACCAAAATAAAATGTGTTTAGATCTACAGAACCTATATTTCTAATAAAGTACATCTAATCTCTCGGAATTTATGATAGCTCGATATTGCTTGGGAAAAGAACCGCTTTTATGTGGTAAAATACCGCTTATCTTGGTAGCCGCAGAACGAACTTCTATTGGGAAGACATGGATGCTTTTTATACGGTCGACGACGTATCTCAAGAATACCTGCGAATTTCACCACCAGGATCTGCAATATCCAAGCTAAACTCAGCAGCTACGTCAAGAGTCGCTGTTCCTGGCATTTTTCAACCTCAGATTCACTATGTATTCGCAACTGCTTCGTAACGATTGCCAGATGTAATGAATGAATGATTACTGTGTTCTTACCGTACTTCTGCTGAAATTCGTGCTTAAAAGTAGACATGTCCATAGATCGGTCCCATTTGCTTACATATGAATATGTGGTGCCTTAGGTGAGTGCCGTCATGGATTCCACCTGTCGCCATTTATTACCGTTAGATGACTAGGTTTAAGGACATAACCAAATGTTGTTCCTTTTTCCAATGTTTGTGAAAAGTATATGACTAGAAAAATTGTTCTATTGGGCAGAAGATGGAGTTTCCTTCCTTTATTTCTGTTTGATTAACCTATTTTCAATTATTTTCTCTGTTTTACTCATTTTATGTCACGCCTTACAAAGAGGAAGCAATAAGAAGTACGGCCTACAAAGCAAAGCGCTGAGGCATTTTGGACACACCCACGATTTGGCGTTTCCGCCGAAATAGCTGTGATAAGCTGATCGCCTATAAAAGATTTGGTGAAGAGATAAAGTGGCAGCCGTCAAGATGAATTACACTAACAGCTCAATCATAACACTGCTGCTGCTTATGTTCACATTTAACTCTGTGACGCAGACGACGACAACACAGAGTCCACCGATTCCATCAGCATCTACAACAACTGGAACCACAAAGCCTGAAACCCCAAAGCCTGGAACCACAACAACTAAGATATCAACTACAAGTAAGAAAACCACTATTCACTGATATCTCAAGACTAATTCACGATAAGCCAATATTTCTGTTATGTTTACGAAAGTTGGGAAAGTAGAAATGACTAAAATTAGGGAACAAATGTTCCCAATTTTACATTCTGTAAACAAATGTTAGTTGCCTAAATTAACGTTAGCTCAATAGAAAATTCTTTTAGATATTATAATGCAAAAATGTGTATGATTTGAATATTTTTCTAGCTAGCAGCCCATGCGAAGACAATCCGGCGGTAAACTGTGCGGAACTCAAGAAGTACTGCGATGATCGTCACTACTACGACCTTTTAAACAAGTGAAACCAGACGAGTTCAGGTGGTTGTACTGTTTATAAAATTCAGTCCTTCTAGGTATTGCAAACGGACTTGTGGTAGATGCGGGGAAACGACAACGACTGTGTGCTTTGACGCTTCAGACCAGTGGGTATCCTCTTTCTACTTGGTAATTTCTCGCTTTAACTACTAACATCCTACGTGTAATTCTTTGCTTTCCTCATTTTCTCTTTTTATTTTCTTTCACAAATTTTTCTTCAGAAGAAATGACACGAATTAACACCTTCTGCAATACCCCATGCTCTTATCTTCAACCTCAGGGTGATGAAGCAAATTCCCGGAGTCGGCACATTAGTACAGGGCTTTTTGGGAATAACTCTCCAGGACATGAGAACGACCGACCTGTTAGGGTGTTTCTGAGATGCTTAGAAAACGCTCAATCAGCACTTAAGGACTTTCATGAAGATGATGAAATTTTTAAATTGTAGTGACCATGCGTACTAGAGCACCTGAACAACGATTGTAGGATAACGAACTGTACGAAACAATTGATGAGACCTCTGATTACGAGGAGGCGGTTAATAAAAAAAGAAGTATACTTCCGCAATGATGCTGAGATATTTGCAAGAGTAAGAACCCGGAAGCATTTTTGCAAAAATTTGCGAAAATAAAATGTTAAACGTTGCACTTTCCACTGCAGCTTCAGCTAAACTGGGTTCAATGCCGATTTTGTACTCTCCAGGTCATTGTGGGTGATGAGTGATTGCTGATGGCGCCGTAGAATAAAAACTGGCGGAGAGAAAGACAAAGCAAGGGAGTCGGTGGCACAATGAGCAGCACGTGTTTCTACGAAAAGGGTAATAACTGGTTGCCAGCTCATCTGGAAATTCGAGTTTTGCTAATCTCTTAGCATCATTATGGCTGTATTTCACATAGTATCCTGTCATGAAAAAGTAATGGACAGTAAATTAAAACTTAAACAACTATACTTCTATAATAATGCTGAGATATTTGCAAAACTCCGGACCGCAGGTGTCTGCGGTGGAGAAAGAACATGCTATTGTCTCTTCCGGGGAGTAACGCGTTCACCACCACGCCGTGAGGGTCCTTCGTTTCGTCCTTCGTTTTATACGCTGCCGTTAAAAAAACGGTAGGCAGTAAATAATACGTTAAATTGTGATTATAACTGCAGCGTCAGCTTAACTGTGTTCATTGCCGATTTGGACTCTCCAGATCAATCTCGATGACGGGTGATTGCTGATGACAGTGATCGATAGAACTAGCCGAGAGCCAGGTGAAACGAAAGACCCACATGGTGTGGTGGTGAGTGCGTTACTCCCCGAAAAGGACAATAGCGCGTTCGTTCCCCACCGCAGACACCTGCGGTCCGGGGTTTTGCAAATATCTCAGCATTGTAGTAGTTATATTTCGCAAATACCCTGCCGCTAAAAAAGAGTAGGCAGTAAATGAAGAGGTTAAGATTATGCTTTTATATTCATAAATTTCATAGCGTTTCAGAGAACACTAATTCTTATTTCTTTATACTCTTGTAGAATAACACGAGGAGTCATTTTATTCTCTATGACGGAAATGCTGGCGATTCGACTGATTCCGCCTTCTACAGAGCCTGAGGTCAAGTTGACCGCAACCTAGCTACCCAAAAACTCCAATAACCAAGCATAGAAGATGTTAAACGAAGATTTCAATCATGTCAAACACACAGTTGTATCTACTAGGTGCACTTTTATGTGGATGCATTGTGGTCTACCTGCTTCGCCTAAAGTAATCGCCCTCGTACGCTTTACAAGAAATCAGATAAACTCTACTCATGAAATCACCGTTTCTATCGTTAGCGCGAATTATGCAATTTTGTCTTGTACATAGACGGTCATACAGCCGTCGGTGAACTAGCTGCGGTCTTAGAATGCTCGTTGACATTTCAACTACTGTTGCATCCGAACTCTCTAGACCGGTCACTCATAACCAATGTCTCTTTTTTTTATTTTATTTGATCCGTCTTCGCGTCTACTGTACGGATCCCAGCACTTCTCACATTCGATTCGTTTTTTCGTATCCATCAACCACGAAGGTCTTCCAAGTTTTTATATGTGGCTTTAGGTGTTGCTTAAGGATTTTCATTTCATCTCGAATCTCGTAGATTGCTGGTCGAGCAATGCTCCCTGGAGTCCAGGGATAGCTGGGTTAGAGTGTTCCCAATCGGATTGCAGAGAGTATTTTTTCCCCAGATAAGACCGGTACCAATTTTCCGACCCCTGAGGGAGAGACTTGGTTGGCCCGGAGTGGAATCGAATTAGCACCATGCTTGTGATAACGGACGCCACTACCACTGTGTTATCCGTCCTCTACCAAAGGTTTTATAGTTGCACTGAACTCGTTTGAAATTAAGGGAAGAATAAATGGGACCTTATTGCCGATACTGTTGTCGTTCGGGGGCTTGAGTTTTTCTCTGCACCTATGCCAAGGAGCTACAGTTTCGTACCCATTTGATATGGCTATTTGCCGCCCCAGTTTCTCGGATTCCTCCTCCTGTTCACTTCCTGCACATACGCTGGTCGCTGTTAGAAAGATGTTTCGTACAAATGTCATTTTTGAGTGTGAGCTATGAGACGAGAGGCAATGTACCGGTATGTCTTTACTAGTTGGCTTTCGCTACTACTTCGCTTTGTAGCCGTTTTCGGATGAGTTAATTTGAACGTTCAGAAGTGGAAGCTAATTTCCTTTCGGTTTCTCTCTGGCAAACTTGATATACTCTGTTCATCCAATAACTCAAAACATTTGTCTATTTCCTTACTCCACTATTTTTTTATATTTAGTGTGGAAACACATAGTATGAGTTGAGAAATATTGCACGAAGAATAGGATACCATAAAAAATTTCATTAGAGGGTTTAACTTTGCAATAATGTTGATGGATCTTCTCTTGAACTGTCGAGTGGAGCTCTCGAAGCATTTCTATGACGGCAAATACGTGTTTGCTTAGAGACACAGATGAATTACAGCTAAGCTCTCTCTTTGGCTACAGAGTTGGATTGAATCACACTTTCTGCTGATATCTACACCTTTAACTGGGAAGGTGGCTGGGAGTCATCGGTTGCACTCTACAATGTCCACAATGAATTCTTCTTTTAAAGACCTCTATAAGCCACCCTTGAGTATTGTCGACCTCCGTGACAGAACATGGCGAAGATATATCTTGACATAAAATGATGAAAGTGACAACAAGGACTCTCAAGAAAAGCGCTCTTCGTCTCCCTTTATCAAATGGAGGAAGCGATGTTAAGCGAGGAAAACGAACGAAAGTTTCCGTACTGTCGGCTGCACTTACTCGATGATTAATGAGATCACAGGTGATACAAGTGAGAAAGGTTTTTTATTGCAAAATAAATGGCATAATAAAATAGAAGAACTAAGGAAGACTATCAATAAAGATCTCGATAAATTGCAGTTCACCCAGTGATGTTAGCCCGTCGATCTTTCAAGCCATTTCATATTCCAGTTAAGAAAAGATCACGTAACGTTAACATAATGGGCGTGTTCACCTTCGAAAAACACAATCTCGAACGGAACTCTTTTGGTTTTTCAGTTGTGAAGCATGGAATCATCAGGGCTTCTGTAACAGCACTTTCTACAGTCGCGATTTCAAGCGAGAGTACTGTGCGAAAACGTGTGGGTTGTGCTGAGTGAGCAACGACGTCCAGACTTCCGGCACAGCTGCTCCATTTCGCGAAATTTCCGAATCTTCTACACCTGGGATACTAAATAACGCCATAAAAAACAATGTTTTCAATAATATTACTTGTGGGAGAAAGCATTTTGCACGCTGTCCAGTTGGAATTTTCAATGAAAAACTGATTTCGAGGTTTTTTAAGTTCATCAACGATTAACGATCAGTTTAAATTTATTACATCCATAATTGGATCATACATGCAATTTAATGAAATATGTAGAAGGGTTAGGGATAAAAAACTGCGGAATCGCGCCACTTTTCTGATAAGGTGGGGCATTTTTTGTTCTAATAGTATCTCCATGTTGGATTAATGACTTTGCCGACATTCAAGACAGTTTAAATTAAAACAATTTTGATTTTAGCCCATTTAGTAGTATACTCATCTATTAAACAAAACACTTGTATAGCCAGAGAGGAGAACCATGGATAAACACATAAACATCTACATGTGATAAGCAGCGTACATGAAATTAATTTGGAACTACTTGCGTAAATTCTATTAGATACTCAGCTTGCCCCAGGTGACTGAGGAGTTCCAGCACTTCTTTCATATCGATGTCATGCAGCCGCCACCATCGAAGTGGGTGTTTGGAAAAAAATTCCTTAACTCTTGCACCTAATGAATCTGTAAAACTTTGTCATTAAAGTATTGAAAATTGGTAGAGAGTTGTTTTCCTGAGCTGCGAAAGTAGCAATGGGGGAAAGGGAGAACGCATCCAAAATCTATACCACATACAGTAGGAAGTTCCTGTAGATTGCAAGGAATTCCGCTGCCTTGGAACTAAAGTTCGTCGGCGGCGATTACTGTGATTATCGTCAATCCAGTGAAGAATATGTAACTGGTAGGTTTTTTGGAAGCATTTTGAATTCAAAAAGAAAAATGTTCACAGGAAAATACTGGATAAAAACCACAGGTTGAGAGATACAAACCAAACAGGAAGTCATTGATATTCGTATTCAACTTTAAACAACATAGATGAAGTCTGAAAAAAGTGGTTAAGATGTTTAACAAACTCTCATGTATATATGCTTACGTATACGTATATATACCTATATATATACATATATATATATATATATATATACATTGGTCATGGAATCACATGCACTTGAGACGACGACACGATGACGACAAATCACTGGTCGCCGCCGATGCACACTATCATTGAGATCGGCACAGCGCCTCGATAAAATGACAAAGCAGATCGAATATTGAGTCAGGCAATGAGTTTGTGAGCAGAAAAACGCACATACCCGCATTTCAGTGACAATACACGCAATAAATAGTATACAGTTAATTGCTATCGGCGAGTTTCACTCCAGACAACAGATGCATTTCCTCCTGAAAACTATGAATTCAGCCGTAACATGCTGGTGAGATCAAAACTTAAGACAGGTTATTTTTCAAAAGGTTAAGAAAAAGAAAATACTGGATGATTTGTAGTCAGATGCGGTGCGCGCTCCTCAAGGATATACCAACTTAGAGCGCCTTTGACTTAGAAGCAAAAAAAGATAGGAAAGTAAAAGTTAAAGCAGATACACAAATAAGATGATACCCTTCGATTTCTCGAACTTTTCGAACTAACATTTGCAACCAGAAATTTTTGCTACAAAATTTAACACCTATAGCAACTTGAGCGTATGGGGCAGTGGTTGGAGGCGCCCTGCGATGCACACATGGGATCGATCCCTGCGCCCGTAGCTCACCAAGCCTTCCATCCCTCCGGGGTCGGTAAATTGGTAAAAGGCTTGTCTAGGAGAATAGCAGCGCTGGCTCGATACATCGGTAGGCCACATCGAGTCATTGTAAAGGCCAGATTTGTATTCAATCACCTCCAACGATGCTTAATGAAGTCGAATGCACGGCGTATCTCGCAGAGATTGATCAACGCCAAGAACTCTATCACCTTTTTATAGCAACTTGTGCAAAAGCAAAAAATTGCAATGTAAAATCGTTTGTAATTCTGATTCATCTGAACCTTTAAAACCTTTAGCAGCTTTCCTCAAATATTAAAATATTTAGGACAACTAAAGATGCAATACAAACAAATGTTCCTAACGAAAAACGGCTTGAAAACAATGAGATACGAACCTCACTCTCGTGCGCAGATCCGTTTTCTCTTGAATTCAATTGCTTCACTGCTTCCTTCGCTTCGATGATAGAATTTCGCACACTTTCCGGCACAAGCATTGCTGTCGGATCGAGTATGGGAGCCGACTGATATGACAAAGCATTGTTTTTCACACATCTTTTAACACAAGTCTTCACAGATAAATTCACAATCTAGATGTTCCTCTTGTTGTATAATTAGTTCTGCTGATTGGCTCATGGGTGTGATCGGTATAAAAGCATTGCTTTCAACGAATGAATAAGACAAAAAATTAACACGAGGAGTACTTTATAAAAAAGTAATTTTTGTAAAAGTCAGTTGTAAATCTAATAAGAACATTTTTTACCAGGATATCTCAAATGAAATTGATCAATTGGTACCGATGACTAATTTCACGCATGTTTCACATCGACCATAGTGCACCTTCCATCACCAAATTTACACGCCCTTTCTGTCGTACTTATCGCTCTATAATTCGGTCTATCTCTGCTCTTCGTCGTCAAACTCTTGGTTGTCCTCATATCTTGGGTATCCTCCATATTCCTCTATGCATCTATCCACGCTTGTGGAATATACTTACCTGGATACTTGGACGGCTCTCCTCATTGGTTGTGCGGGCCCCAGCTTATTCTCCATTTTTCGGAGTTTTGATGGTTTAGCCATTGTGTTTCCTTGCAGTACCGAAGTCAGCTTGGCCAAAGTTTGCCGGAGGTCGTCGTCACCACAAGCAGTCGCCTTGTAGATCAAAGGAAGATTTGCCACCATGCGAATAGTTAATACTAGGACGGTGGTGGATCCTGGCATTGGTTCCTGGTTTACTTTTAGGTGGTCTTCCTGATGGGAAGGCCGGACTCTTTCTCAGTTTGGGAGACTCTGCCAAAGGATGAATTCCCCGCTGCACAGTGCAGCCTGACACCGAGGAACACCTCTCAGCCACGATGTAGCGGTAAACCGTTGGGAGATGTGGAACACACTAACTGTTGTATGTGACACTTCCGCAGAACATAAACGCTTAGATGCAGCTGTGTAGCCATAACTGACAAACAAACCCGTTCGAAAAAACCCAGATGCAGTACTGTTAATACTCGGTTAAGCGTTATAGAATGTGTAAAGCACACTGCACATATATATATATATATATATATATATATATATATATGTGCAGTGTGCTTTACACATTCTATAACGCTTAACCGAGTATTAACAGTACTGCATCTGGGTTTTTTCGAACGGGTTNTATATATATATATATATATATATATATATATATATATATATATATATGTGACTCGCTCGGAAAAAGCTTTCGTGCTTTTTTATGTGCTGAAGAAAGTCTTTTTCTTGACGCAATCCGCCACAAAATCTATGTTGGAAAGGTAATCGAATGGTTACTAGAGGTTTAGCGCAAACTCGATGCGGTCAAAATAAGAGGAAAAAATTTCTCACATATGATCCCAATCGGCCAGCTTGTTAGGAATAGCTTGGGGCATGGCATATACGACTCACCTCGCTGCCAGTGGGTTATAAGCAATTTAGATAATTTTCGAACACTTTCAAGGAGCTATTAAATACAAGACTATTTAGAAATCTAAAATATTACCACAATGTTGCTGAGATATTTGCAAAACACTGGACCGCAGGTGTCTATGGTGGGGAACGAACGCGCTATTATCCTTTCCGGGGAGTAACGCGTTCACCACCACACCATGCGGGTCCTTTGTTTCGCACGTCTCTCAGCTATTTCTATCGATCTTTTTTTGCCACAGCAATCACCCGTCAGCGGGGTTGATCTGGGGAGCGCAAATCGGCATAGAACCCAGTTAAGCTATGGCTGTAGTTGAAATCACAATGTTTTAACGTTTTGTTTTCTGTCTTCTATAATTTTCATGGCAGGTTACTAAGCGAAATACAACCACAATGTTGCTGAGATATTTGCAAAACTCTGGACCGCAGGTGTCTATGGTGGGGAACGAACGCGCTATTATCCTTTCCGGGGAGTAACGCGTTCACCACCACACCATGCGGGTCCTTTGTTTCGCACGTCTCTAAATTATTATTTGGTACGCATGTCAACCTAGAACGAAGTTTTTCGTCGTTTTATCGTCAAATATTAACTTAAAGAAATAGTATGAAATGCTGAGATATTTGCAAAACTCCGGACCACAGGTGTATGCAGTGGGGAACGAACACGCGCTGTTGTTCTTACCGGGGAGCAGCACACTTCACCACTACAGTACTTCGTTTTGCCTGTCTCTCAGCTGGTTTTATCGATCTTTTTGCCATCAGCAATCACCCGTCAACGGGATTGATCTGGGGAGCCAATATCGGCATTGAACCCAGTTAAGCTGAGGCATAGTTATAATCACAATCTTAACTCTTTTATTTACTGCCTTTTTCTTCTTAATGGCAGTAAATAAAAGAGTTAAGATTAAAGAAATAGGTTTAGTATTGTAGTCAGATTCACCTCTTTTCGAGTGGAAGCGGTAATTTTTCGACTCGTAAGTGATGGCGATCGAGAAGTAAAGCCACCCGCCACTGAGATATCATCCCGGCTAGAAGAAATTATTTCAAATGATAAAAGAGAGTCATTTTGGGACGAATATGACAAAGTTCCCAAAAGTAAATAACGTCGAATGCGAACGAATTCGTTACGAACACCAGTTTTAGTTTAGCTATAGAGCAACGCTGTAATGTTATAAAACAAATGTAATGTTTATTTCACAACTAGCGAGGTCAATCAGGGTAGTGTATGCGCATTTTGACCAGTGGATTCTCACTTAGAAACAGAATGTTTATCCTTTATTAAGACTTTTGCTTTCGCAAAACATGAACGCTTAGATGCAGCTGTGTAGCCATAACTAATAACTAAATCGAGGCAATAATGGGGCGCGTGTGGCTTAGTGGTCGGGGGCGCCCTGCGACACACACGTAGAATCGATCCTCGCGCCCATGGCTCACCAAGCCTTTCATCCCTCCGGGATCCTCAAATTGGTACTTGACTTCTCTAGGAGGATAGCAGCACTGGCTGGATACATCGGTAGGCCACCAAGAGTCATTGTAAAGGCCAGATATGCATTCAATCATCTCTAACGATGATTAATGAAGTCGAATGCATGGCGCATCCCTCAGAGATTGATCAACGCCGGGAGAGTTATCATTATTTCTATGCAATAATGAAAAAAGACAGTGATCAATAACATTTAACAGAATTCTAAATCGTGCTTAGCATTCCTGACACAACATCGATTTCAGTCTTAAACTGCTGCGGAACACGTTCAGTAAAGCAGAGCAATATTAACCAAAGAACAGGTGGCTTTCTCTAGGGATAGGCCGCTGGTGGGCACTGAAGCATGAATTCGGCGACCATCAAACCCACCATTTCTCCCGCTGCATCAGTGTAGATTTGTAGGCGTTGATGTACGCGGCGACGTTGACGTCCAGATACGTGCAGTCTTCCGTGACGACCACCGAATAGTCAGGTTTGAACATCAAATCTGGTCGACGACAAGATAGATCGCTAGTATCTAAACACTCACATTTCCTACAGTAGCACTTCTTTCAAAATGTTTTTTCATGAAAAATTTTTTAGATGCCTTTTTATAAACCTTTTAGAGTTGTTAAAACTAAAAACACTGTACAAATTCAAAAAAGGCAAAACCAGACTCTGTCATTTACCTATACCACCTATAAGTCCTTCAGCATAGAGGCACAATTTTAGATAGTGGATAAGGCTGGATAACGCAAACTGTGTTTTGCCCAACGAAATCAACACGCATAACCTATGGGTACTGCCGAGTTTCCCACGTGCGCACCGCTAAGAGTGTCAACCATCGAGCGAGTCTAGATGATACCAATTAAGCCTCTATTCGTCCCTGTTGCGCTCCATAACTTCCATGGATTCTGCTTCTTCGAGGGGCGTGTTGAACCAAACCGTTCGCCCAAAATCTTCTATTTTTGTTTTCGGCCAGCGAGTATTTTCATGAGTAGCACATTACGCTCTATCATTGAACTTGATGTAGTAACAGGTGCGTAGCTCCTTCAGTATAGAGATTGTTTCTTTTTACAGAAAGAACAACGTCGATCCCTTCATCTCGAGAAGATAATTTGTAGAAAAATGAATGTTTCCCTACAACTCAATCTCATGCATCACCATTACATAAGCTGTTATATCTTAGGAATCAAGACTGTTTCACGTAACTGCTTCGCTGTTGGTTGGGAAATGCTTTGTAACTTCTTTATCTTGTACAATAACGGGTGGTATGACAGCATGAAAAGATTGTGATCAACTTATCGTCATTTACCAGTGAAATCAGTGTCATCACTTTTTTAGTTTAGTTTTACATTCTTTGTAGCAAAACTAAGTTGCGTTAAGCCGTTCGCTATATAATCCCGGTCCAACACCATCGATGTTTTATTACTATTCAACTTCTCTATATCTATCGATCATCTTTTGCACTGGTGAATTGCACAAAGGCTTAACTACCAAGGTTTGAGGTCTTCACTACGCATACAGTAAAAAGGATTCAGTGCGAGCACATGAGAATGTTTCGTACATCCTGCCAGGGGAGCCGTCTGCATTAGTTTATAGACGTAATTCCAAACCACATCCCATGTGATTGACTTTGTTGAAATAACACGTAAGATATTAGGAAGCAAGGTACGCAGAAGCAACCTACACTACATACGTGAATATTTTAAGCAATATTTTTTTTACACCTTACATGGCCCGTCATCGCAGCCACTCTGCGGATCCCAGCACGTATCTTCGATTCGTTTTCTTCGCCTTCATCGTCCACAGTGGTAATCGAATATTTCACGCGCTGTTTCGGCTGTTACTTGAGAATTTCGTCTTCTATGAACGTCGTAGAATTTTGCTGAAGACGATTTTCCTCGAGATCTTGAGGATAGTCAGTCTAAGGTGTTTCCACGTGGATTGGTGGAGAGCGTTAGGTAGGGGTTGAACGAGCACACTGTTTCCTGATGGATTGCATTACTAACCACTGCGCTTTCCCTTCTTGCACGTTTATATAGAAAGTAAAAGTCGATCATTTGGTTAGTGTTTAACCTCTTTTACGCCATCTAGGAACACGTCGCACCACCCATGCGACTGACCAGACCAATGTTCTTCAATAAGGAAATTCGTGAAAAAAGTGAGCACATAAGAATTCGGGAAAAATATGAACATATATAATATTGCTACACCACATTTAGGATAGAAATGTATATGGCCGCATAAATACACCAATCTCCGCCACTTCACTTACCAACTATGGAAGTACTGCGACTCAATGCCGCTGCTTCTTGAACAAGTTTTTTCAGTATCTCGCTACCAAAGCAGTGCCAAGGGCCGGCTTCGAAAACCATTCCGCTTTGGCCGATTGTCACCTCTACTCGACCCTCAAGAATAAGGACAAAGCGATCACTGAACTCGTTTTTGGTGTAGAGTTTCGCGAGTCTGGGCACATTCACTACATCATGAGAAATTGCCATCAATGCCGAGATGTCCACCTGTAATCCTTATAGTTGAGGTACAACCGAATAGTAATGTCTCTATTAATACATAAAATCGATAGCCACTATAGCAAACCAAAATTGTAAAAAAGGATTGTTCGGAACGTAAAATTGATTACGTATGCAAATTTAAACCTTCATGATAGTAATGCGGTGGCAAATTTTAAACTTATATTTTTCAAACCAAAGGTCATTCAGCCTCGGCATTGTGCCGGGTGAGGTTGCTTGCCCGAGCGGTACTCTCCTTGCCACATCGAGAGTGCGAATGATCGTGGAAATCAACTGGAATTATCGGTTCCGAGAAAGAATAAGACGTCGAAGAGCTAGCCGAATAAATCTTTTCATTAACCTCGTGCTAGTATAGTAATCCAAGAATGTATTTAAACTTGCAGTTTTTTGTTTAAGCTACGTTAATTTCCACAGAAAAGCAAAACCGCTAGGCTCGGCACAATCATCCTTGTATGTTTCCGGGCGCTTTCGCTAAGTCCTCTTTGGATTCCCTTTGTCACCATCTTTTTTCAAATATTTTCAAGCTTTCTTCCTCCTAGTCTCACTTTTTGTCTCAAAATCAGTCATTTAAATGCTTCACAAGTTCTGGACTAAAATATAAATAACGATTCTGAAAATTAGAAAAAATATGTAGAAAATAATAATATCTAAAACATCTACTCACTCTTCTAGCGGTAGTCCTTATGAGGCGCTCCAGCACGTTGGTGTCGATGTACTGTTGTGAGAATGCTTCCTCGTTGGCGACCAGCCACTGCAGGGCAACCATTTGTATCTGGAGAGAAAAACTTCGACGTTGTGAAAACGATAACAGTAAGTTTCCCGCCTTGTTTGATTAAACCACTCCAAGAAATCAACCAGGTATGTGGACTAAGCGCTCGTCAATATACCTGGAGAGAAATCTGAGTCTGTGGCGCCTCCTTGTCGAGCATTTTCGACATGTCGCGTTGCTAAAAAGTCACTGTCGTTGACGCAACCACTTCTTTAAACAGAATTCAGGAAAAACAATGAGAACGGTGGTTTTGAGAGCTCATATAGGAAGACTTCATACGTCTAGTTTTTATAGATAGCTTTCGTCGTTGCTACCAACTGAACAACATTAGTGCGAAATTACGAAGTAAATGGGAGTAAATTATGAAAAAAAGCTGAAAAATTTTCAGTTTCTGGGAAAGTGGAGAGTAATAGTGGAATTCAGGGACAGAGGAAACCTAGAAGTGCATTCAAATTCCATTTAAATTACCTGAAGATTCTTTCTCTTGATCTTGTTGACGTTGTCCGAAACAACATCAAATTCGTCGTTGATCTCTGCCTGGAAGCTAGTTCGTTTCACAACTTTCTGCACCTTTTAGACAATATTCGGGCACTGAAAGACCTGCAATATCTCCTCGACAATGTCCTCGAGTGTAACCACGCCCACCAATTCGTAAGAGGGATCGCAATCCTCTTCATGGACGAGTTTCTTGACCATAGCTAAATGACCTTCTCCCTATAAATAGCTATTTACGTGGCCTTAACACCAACACCTGTAGCCGATAAAGAGCCGCGCCACTAGTAAAGAACACTGACTTTCTTAAACGCTTCCAATAGAATATTCAGTGGTGTGTCGTTAAGGACGAATTTCACGGGATGCCGATGGTAGCCACAGACAGTTTTCACTGTGAAGTTATCGTCCGGATCCAGTAACGCAAGATCCTTTAAAGAACAACGACAGATTAGATATTGACCACATTCATATAAACTACAAAATCAATAAGGTACAGATCAAAACTTAACATATCTCACTAATAAGGATGGAAGATGGTAGAAAATAGTGATAAGAAGTATTTAAGGATGGCCAGCGTTGTGGAATTTCCAGACATTGTTGGATAACAAACTATGCAATTTAATATGTATTCTTTCTTGATAAGCTTGCACGAGGTTGATAAATATATTTATTTTCGGCTAACGTTTCGACGTCTTCGTCTTCCTCAGAGCCGATGATCCGAGTCGATGGTCCATGCATGTTGTTCGTCTGGACGTTGCAGTATGCAATTTATTCATTTAATTATTATTATTACGTATGCAATTTAATATTCTGTTAAGAAAATGTAACTAAAACCTTCTTAGTGAAGAGGAAATGAGTACAAGTGGTAAAGTTAATATTTAAGAAAACAAATACAATCATGTTTATCCAAAAATATTCAAACTATCTACGCCGAAGACCAGTTTAGGGTTTAAACGAATGCTTAGATATCACATTTTGTTTTGTTAATGATAAACTCGCAAAAGGTCTTATGTGTTTTCATAGGAGTTTTTTTCCCGAGAAACGACATGCTCTACAATGAAAAAAGAGAAGGGCTGAAATAATTTAGTTGTCGATCACCTTAACAAACAAAATATCGGTGACGTTGTTTCTGTCGCCGTTCGAGTAAACGGGAATTCTGGTGTAACCCATGCGGACAATCTCAGCAACCATCTTCGTGTTTAGTACAGTCGTGTCGGGAACCATGAACACATCCTGAACTCACATCAATTAATAGAGAAACCCATCGAAGGGTTTCTGTAGAAATCCCGACTTAGGAAAGTCCCCTAAATTTTTCATTACTCCTAATTCCTTTCCTACGAAAATATTCGGTATGTATTCGCAGCAATTAGGAAGTATATACGTATTTTGCCCGCACACATTTCACCACATTCGTGACGATTATGGTTTTTCAACAATTGTAGCTAACTTTTCGATATACACAATATTTGATGAGATGAAGACTTGACAATCTTTAAAGCAGCTTTTGCGCCACTGCTCAAATGGTACTCATATGGTTCGATTTGAAATGCTCCCGAGTTTAAACGTTGCGCGTATTTCAATACTGCTTCCATTCTGTTTCCTTCCTTGCACAGGTCATCCATGAATATCCTGAACTTTGCCTTGAGTTTGGCTGCCATTCAGGGAGCTTATCTTCTTCATTATTGTCGTTGCCCTTTGACCGAGTTGATTCTCTTTGAAATCCTGAGATATCAGTGTTAAAGTGTCCACAAGTCTTCTCCATATGAAATTGCCAGCGTTTACGGATCGTACGGAGTTCTTGCCAAACAACTTTAGTAGGAATGCCTCGACTCTCAAGAAATAGAAGGTTTGCTTAACTCGGGGTAAGGCTGATCCAGATCAACAGCGCATCCGGCAATATATCAAGTCCTGTAGGACGAAAATCCCTTGTACGACGGCTTTGCTATCTGAGACAGAAGTCTCGATAAGAGAAAGCCGAAAAGCGGCATAGATTTGCTGACCTGAATTGATTTTATTTCAGTCTTTAAAGTTTATTGCGCGCTGAGATAAATCTATGCAGCGTAGAAGTTCCGATCAATTTTATGTCATGTATGAGTCACATCACCCGCAATGAGTAGATGGGGCTCAGGTAATATATGAAATCTCTCCCATCTACTTCTCTTAAAAATGTGATTGCATTAAAAGCTTACCGCCAGCCTCGTCATGACGTCTTCGGCTACCTTGTCAGCGATCTCCATGGCTCCAACAGCGATTTTCAACTCATTGGACAACTGGCCATTGTCGTTTCTCATTGACATTCGAATCAACTCCATTAGACGTTTACGATCGTACGCTTGCTGAAACTCCAATTGATTGCAGCATAGACAGCCTTAGCTGGAGAACAATATCTTCGCTGAACATCGAAGGTCGAAATCCTAATGTACTCAAAAGACGTGATGAAACAGTGATTCACTAGAGCGACTTGGGATATAGCTCACAAAAACTTTTAAAGTCATCTTTTGCAATAAAAACGTTTTTTGACTTGAGTTTCCCATTTGATAAACCGCTTTCTGGTGGAAAATCTAATGATAAAGCCAATAGTGAGCTTCGGCCTGTAATAAATTGCCATGAAACGTTTACTTGACTTTGCTCGGATTCCGCCGTAACGAAGGAATTGTCGCAAAAAAGAAATAAAAGCGTAATAAAGCCGTCACAATTATGCACCTATAAATTTCCACAAGGAAACACAGCTCAACTCAGTGGATTGTCCTTTACCAACGCTCCGTCGGACTGAACAACATTATCCGTAGATACGTGGAATCCACACAATGATCCATGCATAACAACTCCTCCTTTGTGTGTACATTCCATCCCGCATGTTGATTCGACCGAAGACTTGCAATCCGGTGATTAGAAAGTACATGGAATAGGGCTCGGAGTCGTATAATCTGCAGCTGTATTCCATGCCAGCCTGACAACTTTTCTGTGAGCGTATTTAACTCCAACAGTAATACCCTAAGCTATATGTAGGTCTCCAGGCATCACACTCTGTAAAAATAAAGGAACTCAAATGAAAAGTAAGGTGCCCATAACCATTACTCAACACTCTCACGATGACGTCTAATTTCTCGCTCTTGTGTGGTGGACGACGCCTAATTTTTCGCTGCCTTCACGACATTCCGGCAGTTCTTATGAAGTCCGGTCCTCTTTCGTTGTGAATCTCGTCCCACAAATCGGTTTTTCTCCGTGTTTTGGAAAACTTCCCACACTTCTCATATCCTATGTATTCTCCATGCTCTTCTACACGGCCTCCCATGTTTTTGGTGTATACACAACTCTTGTGTATGAAAGAACACCCCTTCACTAACCAGTTGTACTGCTGTCAGTACTTAATGAGGTTGTATAAGTTCTACTAGAAATATTATGTGTCCACCCCTTACTTTTCAAATGACCTCATTCCAAATAAATCCTAAATCCACCATAGTGACCGAAAATTTATTAAAAAAAAAACTGAAAGCGACGAAATGTTTGTGAAAAACGGTGCTACGCACTGCACGACGCCAGTTCTTCGGGTCAGAGGCGTTTCAGCGTCTCCTCCCTAGGCCGCGAGCCCTTCTCAACAGCAACAGTCACTCGCCGCAAAACAAAAATTAAGATATTATTAAGAAGATATTTCCCATGGATGACGCAAGCCACAGCAAGTGCGTTCGATATGCTATCGACTGATTGCAAGAAGTACAGGAAATACTACGGTACATAGAAATAAACCACCAGAAAAATTGCACCTATAGGTGTCACACCGGCTACCCTGGCAAAAGTGCCATGACATCTATACGTTTCATTCGTCGCGCCGGTGTTAAGAAAGTTGAGCGAGCTAGCAACTTAAATGAGCAACAGTGATGGATGGAAAATTTCCTGGTGCCCCTCAATGAGACATGACGTTTAGATTTCGTGTATAAAGCATCGTGTATAAAAGGGCATCACTGAGGAGAGGAATAACAAGCGAGGACCATCGACTCAGATCATCGGCTCTGAAGAAGACGAAGACGTCGAAACGTTAGCCGAAAATAAACATCATTATCAACCTCGTGTAAGCTCATCAAAGAAAGAATACATATTGACGTTTAGAGTTAACAGAGATGTAGTTCATAAAAAAGACAAAGCGTTCAGCGTTAATCAATCCTTGAAAGCTGCGCCATTCATTCGACTTCATCAAGCATCGAAGAGGTGATTGAATGCACTATGCAATGACTTGCGGTTGCCTACTGGCGTATGAAGTCAATGCTGCTATCCGTCCAGACTAGTTTGCTGCCAATTTGCAGAGCCCGCAAAAAGGGTAAGCTTGACGTGCTCCCGGCGCGAGATCGAACCAAAGACTACACGTCTGTTGCAGAGCATCTCTAATCACTGTGCTACAAGAGCCCATATATATGTAAATATATACACATACATAAACTTTAATAGCCCATTTTTATTGGGCACATTTGGAATTTCAGTCTTCAATATAAAAAATGACAACGAAACATAGAGCAAGATAAGAGAATCAGAAGAAAACTGACGTATTCATCCCCGAGAAGGTAGTCGAGTAGTTTGCTAATCGGCCAGGCGATCGGAAAAGTAATGAATATGAAAATTTGAGTGATCATAATCGTGTGAGCTCCAACAGCAAGTCCCTTCCTGAAAATTGGACTATAAGGTAATTTCTGCCATAAAGCTTAACTGGTCATTGCTATTCGATCAAATAGTTTCAGAAAGTTCAGAGAAGAATCGGAATGCTGATATGATTACGGCATCGTCGCTGACGTAAGCAACATTCAAGTGTAGGTAAGATGAAGAAGATCTATAAGGATACAACTTTATGGACGTTTCAGTTGTTTGAAACGGGAATTACTGCAGAATCCTAAACGCAGATTCTTCGTCAAGTAAAAGCTCTATACAAAAAGAATAAAGAGGTCGCCATCATTTGGTATTGTTATGTTAGCCGCGAATGAGGTGAATTTGACTAAAACCTCCACCACACTTTACCCTCCCACTACAGGTCTAGTAGAGTAACTCTTAGTAATCCCTGCAGATTTACGACGGCACCCATGCGGTCCACTTATTGCTCACTTCGATTAGTTGCCATTCTTGATTTACTATCGTCACTACAAAAATATGTGATTGAGAACAGAGCCTTAACAAAAAGCTCTCAAGTAGGAGCAGCGCAACATTTTTAATTTTTTCGTAAGCTGACGTTTGTATAGATGACGCATTACTAACGATCAGCCAATGTTCAGAGCTAACTTTTAATCAGAACTTAGCCGGCATTAACAAAAAAGAACAGATTCATAGTGCAGTGCAGTGGTTAGAGGTGCACTGTAATACAACAGAACCATTGGTTTGATTCCGAGCAGTAGGCTATCTACGACCTCCATCCGTCAGAGAATGAAAAATTGGTGGCAAGCTCTTTTCTGGAAAATAAACAGGCTTCATGCTGACCATAACTACTTCGTTTATGCAAGAAATAAGGAGCATCTTGCAAGTGCCAATTTTCCCACTTGCATTATAAAGTTGAATGAAGACTGCGTAACCTGGAAGCTATTGTTTTTGACTTAGTTTTTTTACGCTGTAGGTCTCTTCTATAATAATCTCTTCGCTCCTAATGAAGTTCCATGTTCGGCTTTTCGAGGAAAAACTTTAAAGAGTTGAAAAATAACGAAAGCTGCTATGTTTACACAATCTTTCATTAGTATTTACCCTTAGTTCGCCTTGCTCTTCCTGGCCATCCAATATTTTGCAAGCACCGAGATCCTCACTCATGTCGATGAACGTAAACGAATTTTTGAAATTCAATGGCTCATAAAATAATTCCAATTATACTGCAAATCTCAACTTCTGGACGAATGTCGTATTTTTACACACACAGTAATCCTTCTCAAATGGCGCTTGTTGGAAGGCAGAAGAAGCTTAGGCCGTGCCAACACCAACACCCTGAGCCTATTCGCCTAATTGAAGACAACTTTACGAAGGCATTCATTAGTGTCAAGCAAAAACTCATAGAAAGATTCATCTGAAAATACATTAGTGACGCCGATGGCTATCTTAAATGGTTCCAATGTGGCAAAGAAGAAAATTAAAAATCTCGTAAGACTGCAGGTTTCCAAGGAGTTCCATATTCCCGTTGCGTAGACGACTAGTATTTCAAAAGAGCTAGTTTTTTAGCAATTCCTATATTTGAATAATAGCTAAGTACTGCTACGCTGATACAACCACAATGATGCTAAGGTATTTGCAAGAACTCCGGAACGCAGGTGTCTACAGTGGGGAAAGAACGAGCTATTACCCTTTCCGGGGGCAAACCCGGTCACCACCACATCATGCGGGTTCTTCGTTTCGCCTGTCTCTCAGTTAGTTATCTGTTGACCAGTGCCATAAGCAATCACCCGTCAACAGAATTGATCTGGGCAACCCAAATCCGCATTGAAGCCAATCAAGCTGAGGCTGTAGCTGAAAATCAACAAGTCCGGAGTTTTGCAAATAGCTCGGCATCACTGTGGTTGTACCACACATAACATCCTATCATGAAAAATTGTAAAAGGCAGTAAATAAAAAAGTTAAGGGCTACGGTGAGTTTCAAAATAATGGAACAGAGCAGAGAACAGAAATCCGGGACCCGGATGGTGTAGTGGTGAAGTGCGCTGCTCCCCGGTAAGGACAACAGCGCGTGTTCGTTCTCCACTGCATACACCTGTGGTCCGGAGTTTTGCAAATATCTCAGCATTTCATACGAGTTATATTTCGCAACATAACCTGCCATTAAGAAGAAAAAAAGGCAGCAAATAAAAGAGTTAAGATTAATGCAAATAGTAAAAAGGAGAGCGGGAAGCTCGTGAAACTCGCTTTGCAATGAAGAACGGGACTGACAAATCGAGTTTTTGTTTTTTGCTTACTATAAGGGGTAAATCATGAACTCAAGATTCATAATGGTTGAAGATTGCTGAGTGTCGACGGTTCACGTGTTCAAGAGTTTACAAGAGCAGAAACACTTCGCTGAAGTGAATTGCGGCAACAATTCTTGTCGTTACAGTGAAGAACTCCACCACCTAGGAATTCCATGAGCTCTATGAATCCTCTGCTCACGACGAGCTGGAACTTACTTCACACAAATACTCTGCGGCACGATTTCGCCGAAAATCACGATTCCCAACGATGAGATGAGCAGTGCAAGAAGACCAGTCGTCAGCTCACCGAAAAGAATTGATATCGCAGCGTTCACAATCACATTCCCAAGCAGAAGAGCGCAAAGCAAAAGATTTCCTGAAAAGATATTATTTCCATCTCCAGTTTCCATAATTTTTTCTCTTGTAATTGAAAGCTCAGTGAACTGCTACACCTAAATAACAGCAGTGCATCACTGTCAACTTTAATCGAAAGTTTTTTCATTTTTAATTGAGGATTTCTATTTCCGTCTTAAATGGCGTTGAATGCTAGTAGAGACGATTCTTTCTCGAGTCGTGGGATAGTCACGACAGAGCGTTCTCATACTGATTTGAGAGAATTGGCTCAACCCATAGAAGTGCGGCACCAATTTTGCGAGCTCAGAGGAGTAAGAAACTAGGTGAACCTAAGATGCGGTCGAATAAGCGCGTCGGTAGGTTGGCTCTTACACCTAAAGAATGGCGTCGTCACCACTTCTCCATTGTATAAGGGTTAATTTTAAAAAATCTCAAAATTGAAAAGGCTAGTAGCAGTGAGTGAGAGCACAGTGAATGGACAAAGAGTTTTAAGACCAGCCAGAGAAAAATATCCTTGCATTATCAGACTTTTCATAAATGTAATAGTGGTAAAAGCAGGAAATAAAAATAGAAACCGAAAAATGTCATGGTGTATACATAATATTTTTGTTAAGTTACGGTATATTCAAGGCCATATCTATCGGGCAGTGAAGGACAAGGGATTACGCAATCTTCCACAGATCCGTTTTGAGTACACATTATTGGAAAATGGTTATTTGCAAAGGAAACGCAGTCAGAAAATCACGCCCTCGAAGTGGTTAATATATGGCGAATATAAGCTTCCCAGTACGTCAGGGATGTGGCTTATTGAGGGATTACCTTCAGCCAGGAAAAACCCTATCACTGAGTGCTACCCACTATTTTGCAGCTCTCCTTCTCGTTCGTCAGAATCGATGTTCAGTTTGTTATTTCTAGAGATTTAAACATGAACTAAAAGCACAACAACGAAGCATGAAGTCATAGAAGATAAACTCCTCACAAATGTTTTGCTTTTTTATGAGTACTGCCGAAGAAGTAACGCTAAGCGAGCCAATAAAAATATTAGCGTTGTTTTCATGGCAGGTTACTAAACGAAATACAACCACAACGTTGCTGAGATATTTGCAAAACTCTGGACCGCAGGTGTCTATGGTGAGGAACGAACGCGCTGTTATCCTTTCCAGGGAGTAACGCGTTCACCACCACACCATGCGGGTCCTTCGTTTCGCCTGTCTCTCAGCTATTTCTATCGATCTTCTCAGCAACGCTGTGGTTGTATTTCGCTCAGTAACCTGCCATGAAAATTATAGAAGGCAGAAAACAAAACGTTAAACATTGTGATTTCAACTACAGCCATAGCTTAACTAGAAAACAAAACGTTAAAACATTGTGATTTCAACTACAGCCATAGCTTAACTGGGTTATATGCCGATTTGCGCTCCCCAGATCAACCCCGCTGACGGGTGAATGCTGTGGCAAAAAAGATCGATAGAAATAGCTGAGAGAAAGGCGAAACGAAGGACCCACATGGTGTGGTGGTGAACGCGTTACTCCCCGGAAAGGATAATAGCGCGTTCGTTCGCCACCATAGACACCTGCGGTCCAGAGTTTTGCAAATATCTCAGCAACGTTGTGGTTGTGTTAGCGTTGTTGTTGTTGAAAAGTGTTGTATTACTTGGAGAACAATAGGAATATTGTCTTGGGACTGTGGACTGGGGAATTTTGGCATGTGTAAAGCTCCTCAATATAGATGCCGAACAGGTCCCAATGGACAAGGCTTTGGTGCTTTCTTTCGTTCAGGAGAACAACAACCTTTTTACGCGATATCCGCTGGACAACTTGACGGCGCGGCGTCGAAAATGCACAAGAATCCCGACGCAATGAAGAAGTTCTCTAAAGCTGGAATGGAACATTTACTCATTACGAGAGTACGTATTCATTACTGCAGAACGTAAATAAACCAGCTGCTACGAGTATTATGTGGTGTTCAGTCCGAATCATATCATTTAAAAGCAGTTGTTTTTAGCGTTTCGTCACAATGAAAGAAAAATTTAAGTACGTGTTGATGGAAAACCATTTTCCGTTCTAATAGAAACAGATTAGGCAGCTGGTAGTGTGTAGAGGGTAGTGTGGTAGCGGCGCCGTTAAGCACAAACACAACGTTGGTTCGACCCTGCTCCATGCTCACCAAGCCACTCGTCTTTCCGAAGACGGAGTTTCGGTACCAGACTTCTCTGACAGTGGCCCATTCTTTGCAATCCAAGTGGGAATGCTCGAGCCCGGTTATCCCAGGACTTCAGGAAGATTCGACTCGGCCGGCATTTAACAAACATTCATATTGAGACATTACTCAAACAGCAGCCAAAGCCAGACACGAAACGTTCGAAGACCTTCATAAATAGTGGATTCAAGGAAACGAATCGAATGTAAAAAATTAAGCTATACACATTTAATTATGAAAACGGGACGTACAAAATAAAAAATAGAGAACGAAAGCTGATTTATCGAAATAATAAACGGTGTTCGCAAATTCCTCTATTAATACGCTAACGTGAAGTTAGTAAATAAACCTTGTTCGGCTGTCGTTTTGACGTCCTTGTTTTCCTCAGAGTCGATGATCCGAGTCGATGTCCACAGCCAATATCACTTTCGATGTGGTATCTTCGTCGTATAGAGTCGGGCCTTCCTCAGTGGAGCATTGCTCGAATGAGGCAACCTCTCCGGGCGGCTCTCTTTTATAGAAGATGATTGTTGTTGATGGTGACTAACCGGTGATAGTAACTTGTTTTTTCCCAACAAGGAGATCCGACCGACTCGATACAATGACAAGGACAGCACATGAAGAGTACGAAGGACTGTGGACATCGACTCGGATCATCGGCTCTGAGGAGAACGAAGACGTCGAAACGTTAGCCGAATAAAGTTTGTTTATCAATCATGTGTTCACGTTTCAGCTTATCAATGAAAGAATACATGCTGACTGCTCATATCGAGGTTAAAGGAAAGTCGATTTTTGAAATAACGTGTTCGTGAACATTCAACAGTGTATCTAACATGGCTTCTAATATAGTCAATAAAAGCACCTTTCTTTAACAACTTTCGCTGCCTTTGAAACTTCACTTCATTCTCACCTTTTTTCCTCACTGGAAGAATGACAGACGCGTATTTTTGCTCACTCGGAGAGCCAGCCTTCATGACCAGTTCGAGCTCTTGAGGCGTAAGTGACATGAGGCCGAGTGTGAGACCGGAAAATAGTGCCGATAGACACAGAAGAAATGCGATCACTGTTATCTGGAAGTACGAAGCGATTTCAGCAACTGACATCGTAAAAGTATCTGAGGAAACCAATACGCTTGACGTGCTCTAGTTTTTCTTTATTTCAAATAAATTTTTCTCTTTTTCTCTGTCTCTCGTCATTTCTTCCTCCCCCTCCGTCACTCGTCATAGCTTGCGCCTTAATGCTAGAACGACAACACATGCCCAGTAATTTCTTAGTTTGTTAGTCTATTAACTATCACTGTGTTTTCTTTCACAATGATGAACACGGATCTAATCTTCAGGTAGCTAAACGTTTGCTTTTTCCCCATCTTCATATGAAAGTCCGAGCTCACTGACATCCACATTGAGTTCCTTAGAGCACTTACTATTCTTTCTCCATAAAGTGCTGAGACGACAGAGATCTTTTGGATACCCTCTTTCTTCTTCACTACCTCTATAGAATATGTTAAATAAAGCGCTACACAGAATATCCACCGCGACATTTGCTCATTAATCATTACCTCACATAAAGTGGCTAAAACTAGTTGGTAAAAGATTCGCTCAGATATTTCCCTATCCCTCATCACCATCGAAATGATGAGATAGACATGTGAAGCACATTTTTAACCACATTGCTACTCACCTGCATCGGCAGAGGTAGAAAATACTCCTTTGGTGGTTTCTCAGTAGTTATCCACGTTGAGATGTCGTCAAGCTGAAATTAATTGGGATGTCGTCAAGCTGAAATGAATTTGAAGTATCATAAAGAGTATAGACGAGAAGAACTAAATGATCTAATTGATTAACTGGTACAAACAAATGATATTAGAACAAAAGTAGAATCGACCAAGAAAGCAATCTTCACGCACAACAGCTTTAAATGAACGAATTGATCGTAACTGGGCATTAAGAGAAGTCAGTCCAGCTGAGGACGAAGGCGTACGCTGGAGTGCGGTAGCGCGTTGCGCGGTAGTTAGTGATGCTGTTGATCAGGAAGCCAAGACGGTAGTTCGACACGTTCTCTACCGCTCACCTCCAATCAATGCAGGAACGCCTTAGATTGCCTATCGCCAAGATTGCAAAGAAAGTCGTCTCCAGCAGCACTCTATGACGTTCATAAAGAAGATAAAATGCTCAAGCAGCAGCTAAAACAATACGCTGAACGTTCGAAGACCTTGTTGATGATGAATGCGAAGCAAACGAATCAAATACAAAAAGTACTGGGATTCGCACAGTAGATGTGATGAGGGGTCACGTAACATAATATTTAAAAAACTGTTACTGAACAGAACCTACCGGACTAAGTTCCATACCTAGTGGAGCAATTTTTGGCACTACACACATCTTGTAGGCGTGGACATTCTCTGGTAACATCGGTAAAACAAGATGAAATGTCGCCTAAATGCAAAAATGAATCGAAATGACTATAGAAGGCATCAAATGGCAAGGCTTGGAATGGCTACGTTTGTTAACAACCGATTCCTGCTGGTTAGAAATGCTTACTCTGTGCAGGAATATTTCTAAAGAATGAAATTAATGCTGTTGTTTTTACGCAGTGCACTAAAGGTTTTGGAACTCGTCATTAATTGGGATTGCTGCACACAAAATAGTACCTTCATTATGATTTTACAAACTGACGGAAAACTCAATTAGCGCTGGAAGATAATCCAGCATTTTCACACTGTTTTACTTCTCAAATTTACTTTGATAAATTCTTCCACACCACGAAATACCCAAGATTTCATGGATCGCTTGAGCGCTACGCCTACATAAGCTGAGTATTAGTAACCCCAAAATTGGCAGCCAGTCGAATTCTCCGAACTACTGAGCGAAGCAGTCGAAGTTGACGAAGCGCTTGATACGAAAGAAGTTCCTCAGAATTTGGAAAAGCACACAAACGGCAAAAGGTGCAGATTATGTGGAACCAGTCAAGCGTCAAGAGCTTCTGATGAATCGTTGAAATAATGGGCTGTTCTGTGGTTCCTTTCATTGATAAGTTAACACAATTTCGTTATCAAACATTTATTCGGCTAAAATTTCGACGTATTCGTCTTCTCCAGAGCCGATTATCCGAGTCGATGGTCCACAGTCACTTGTCCTCGCGATCCGTGGTGTTCGTCGTCGTATCAAGTCGAACCTTCTTTCAGTGGACCCCCGCTCAAATGAACTAACCTCATTCCCTTTTTTGTGGAAACACCGTCGAGTGACCATCGACTTAGATCATCGGCTCTAAAGAAGACGAATACGTCGAAACGTTAACCGAATGAATGCTTGGCAACAACCTCGTGTTAGCTTATCAATGAAAGAAACCACAATTACTATTCACGCCGAGGATAAATGGAAGTCGGTTCAGTAACACCGTCGATTATTGTAGTGGATGAGACAAGCTCAAGTTTGTGTCATTAACTCCATCCTACCCATAATAGTAATAACATCGAGAAAATTGGCAAAATGTTTCTACTTTTCATTTTTTCGCTCCAGGGTCACATGCCGCTTTAGTCTCAAGATCGGAACAGAGCAACGTAATTGGGAGTAGCAAACTAACACTAGGGCTCAAACACGAATGATGCCGGCAATAGCCACACATAAGTACCCGTAGTAGATAAAGGCTTAAATCCGATATGTGTTTAATCTGTTTTACTTTAAATTTTCACTGTTTATTCCTGCTCTTTACACGCCCTTGCCTTTGGGGAGGCATTCCGAAGTGCCTTCCGAAGTAACAAAATTTACGACGCACAAAAACTGACTGAAATAATAAGAAACTACTAGTCGAAGTGATACGGCAGTTTCTTGCCAGCCCAGACTTTGAAGTCGAAACCTTGGAGAATACTATAAAATCAAGGAATCTTTTCTTCAAATCTCACTGACATCCATCTATTAATTGAGATTTTTTAAATAAAGTTATAAGTTCTATTTTGTGGTTGTTGGCTATTTATTCTCACGAATGAGAGACTAGTTTCCGAAACCCATGGAAGATATCATTTAGTTGCAGGTCTCATATAGCCCTCAAAACATTTATTTCAAACTGTCTTTACTTCTGTAAACGCCGTCATTCTCGAATGATGGTGTTTCTTCCATTGTTGACGGAACTATTATCTTAAGAAAATCTCAACATCCACTGAAGCAGTGTGCTGAGCTTCTGCGTATACAAACGCACTACGCATTTCATTAATATTCGCGACGATGTGAGCTCTATAGGAGTCGTGCGGTGCGAACATATTGGACACTTTCAACATTAAATCAATAAATTTCAGCTAAAAGTGAATTTTACTAATTATAACAAGAACTATTAGAATCCTCAAAGATTCCCCTTCAGTAAGAAGATTCTCCTATTTCACCATAATGAAATTCCGACGTTTTAGAGCCATAACATATATTTCCTCTACTTTATTGCTACAAAGCTAACTCCTCGACCATAAGCAAATGTATAAGCAGGCTTACAACTACTAGCGTAAGACGGGGTTTTCCAGGATATCATTTTTGCTCAAAGCCACTCCTTCTCCGATAGAAGAATTAAAAACTTCAATTTTTCTACAATGATGCTGAGATATTTGCAGAACTCCGTACTGCAGATGTATGCGACGGGGATGGAACCTCGTTATTACCCCTTTCGGGGCTAAAGTGTTCACCGTTCACCACCACACCACGCGGGTCCTTCGTTTCGCCTGTCTCTCGGCAAGTTCTATCGATCAGTGTCATTAGCAACTGCATTGAACTGTGGAGTACAAATCGGAAGCGAGCCTAGTTAAGCTGAATCTGTGCCTATAGTTAAGCTGAACGAAGGACACGCATGGTGTGGTGGTGAACACCCCGAAAAGGCTAATAACGAGGTTCGCTCATCGCCGAAGACAGCTGCGATCCGGAGTTTTGCAATCACTTCAGCATCACTGTAGTTGTATTTCACACCATCCCTTGCCATGGAAGAAGAGTAGGTAGTAAATAAAAAGTGAATACATTAAAATTTTTCTGCCTATCTCTTTGAAGCTCCAAGTCTAAACATATTTAAATTTCAAAAGGCAGGCCACTTTATGAAAGTTGCGTATGTGATAAAATTAGAGCAAAGCGCCTGCAAAGTACTGCACTCCTGAAATAGGATAGTGATCGAGAAATTATCATTGGTTCACTAAGAACCAGCTTGGTCGAGAATACGTTAAAGGCAAAAAATAACGCGGTCGACCTTGTAAACTACGGAGTGGCGACCGGAATCCGCGATTGCGTGCTCATTGTATACATTTTGTTAGACTCATAATCTTATACGAAAGTAATTTAATATCTTCTATTCAGTTGCTGGAAGAACAACGATCTTCAAAAAGTAAATCCATTTCTTGTGATTTTTCACCAACTTTAAGAGCCACGACTTCGCCCATAAACGTACTTTATGCGTGAAGTGCACGATGAAGTCGTTGGCAGCGTCAATGACGTGCTTGCCGTCGCTGCAGCTGTTCGTCGGCGTGAAGATCAGCTGAGCGATCTTGTCCAAATGATTTCCGTAGATTACCACCTTGAATTGCTCTTCTGGAGTGACAATGCACACACCATGTTTACTGAAAGCTTTTTTTGATATCAGAGCTCTAATATGAGGCATAAGTCTAGAAGATTGCGCTTTGATTCGTACTTCTTCCTCAGATATTTAGTCTTATCGCGAGCTTTGCCAGAGTGGTGCTAATGTGTGGCGTTTCAGACTAAAGTATTCCAGCGAACAAAAGGTCAGAACCCTCTGCGACAAAGTGCTTATGCTTTCCCGCATCGACATACGGGACGGTTTAACTCCCTTATAACCATGAATGATTGGATTGAACTAGAAATAATGGAAAGCATTTTTTAAATCCATTTCCGTTGTTCATGCTACTATGTATAATTCGCAATTTTCAGAATAGATGCTTTAATTACTTCATAATACATTTGCCCATTATTTCAATCTCTTCCTAAGGATCGAACTTGTAAAATTTCACGCTTCGCAGTGTATCTTCAATAAAAGAAGGTACTATTTCGTAGAGCAATATAAGTAATGGATGTAAGTGGAGTAGCCCAGTGGTAACGATACGGATTACTACGTGTAAGGCCCCGCTTTAATTACAAGCCAACTGAGTCTCTCATCTCCTTGTAGGCGAGAAATTGGTAGCAGACTTATTTGGAATCAGGTTGCTCTCTCAAATCCACTGAAGCTAGTGTTAGGTTTCGAAGGGGCTAGAATTCCTAGGAGATTGAATTCGACCAGAATTCAACGGCGCTCATATAGAAGACGAAAAATTGTCAAGTAGCACAAGCAGCAACCGAGACCACAAGAAAAAATCAGGCACTTTCGTGGATGATGGACGCCAATCGAATGCGAGAGTACGGAAAATCGAAAAGTATATGATGCCGGGTCATGTGAAATAAGAAATAAGTAGAAATAAAGAATAAAAGGCCAGTTTGCTACGTCCCCAGACATCACTCTGTCTCTATCCTTGAAGAAAGCGATCTATCACAACTACAGAATATAAGTGTACACAGTAGACATAACTGTAAACGTAGTCGGTACTTACTCATATCCGAATGGGTCGTCGGCCGGTAGCTCGACTCGCATGCCAAATATGCTCGGTTGCCGAGGCATCGTCGTCGACGTGTTGCCGGTGCCCAGCGGCGCGACTGCCTTCTGGAAGAATCGATACGTATGGGCTAACCAGCTTCGTCGCCGTCAATACAGATGACACCTATTACTTCAGAGATGCGCCTCAGTAAACTCAATCGGAAAACACATTGAATACAAATTCAATCTGGAGGCTCTTCATATTTCGTCATGAATTCACTCGATAAAGAAACAGCTTTAAGCTTAGAGTTCGGAGCGACTGAAGCCTAATTGGAATATTTGCAACCGTGCTGGCTTTCCTACTACTACTGAGAAATTTTCGATCACTAGAGATGAATCGACTTCATGCACTTATGGAAGAGATTTTGTCCCATCGATTGTGCAATTTGTATAAGATAATTTTTCCAAATAGAAATTTAGAACTAAACCCTTCAAAAATAAAGAAACCGAAAACGAATTCTACATTTTTTGAAAGTTTTCTTCGTAAGCACGGCAGATGTAAAGAGAAACGATGTGCTGACGGACTGTTGCGTGCGGCTGGATGACCAGCTTCTTCAACTACTCTGGTGTTTGAAATATGAGCTCATACGAAAAAAAAAGAAGAAAAATATGTTTTGTTGGTCCAAGGAGACTAGAACTACAGCTTGATTCATTGTTTCATGTGATTTATTGTTCGCAAATATTTGAAGATGCTTACATTTTCTAATTCGATTCTTGACGTTCAATATAAGCCGAACCGAACACTTGGATAGCCCGTCTTCACTGGTTGTACGGGCTCCAGCAGAATTTCCATTCTTCGGAGATTTGCTGGTTTAGCCATTGCGGTTACCTGGAGTCCTGAGCACAGCTTGGCCAAAGTCTGCCCCAGGTCTCCACCACCACAGGCAGCAGCCGCCATTGTGGACCAGAGGGAGATTTACCACAATGCGATTATCTTCATACCAGAACAGTGGTGGACCTTGGTATTGGTTTACTCTTAGCAGGGCTTTCTGCGTCACTGAAATAGCATCTCTGATTTAAAAAGGATAATTTTTGTGACGAGACCTGTCTTCGCTAAAACGAAACCAGTTGGATACTGCTTCAAAACAGATCGTAGAAGAAGACGTAGATAATCCAGTTCGCTGTAGATGCAATCGCTGCTCCGTCTGAATGGTCCTCCCTCACCTTAGTCGTTTAACTAGCAACTATCTTTCGAGAATTGCCCCTACTTTTTTCTTTAATGTATCAGCCTATATTGCCGCTTTCCCATTCCTAATGATTTTCTTTTAGTGGTCTTCTACATAGCCTCCCGAACTCGGCCTCAAGCTCAAACTCGCTTATGTCTCGTGCGGCGTTGGAGTATTAGTTCGAGAGTTCTCGAAGACATACGTCTCTTGATCACTTTCCACCTGTTCAGCTCCTCAACACCAACTTGAAGGTGTTAGCTGTGTCGATATTCTTCTCAGGTATTTTACGAATAACAGTATCTTCTCCAAATCCGACCAAAGAAAAAAAAGGGTGTCAATTCATAGTAGTTTCACGGGTTCATTTCTTCAACCTTGCCGCTTTTCATGACTTTACTTTCCGAAAGGGAAGAGAGACTGACTGATATCATGTAGAAGTACGGTACAAAAACGACATTATTGCAAGAAATTCGTAGTAATGTGGTCAGTTTCGATAGCATACTATAAAACAATTAAACGGGGCTCGTGTAGAGTATTTGTTAGAGGCACACGGCGAAGCAAACTGGCGCTGTTTCGATTCCGCACCACGAGCAAACCGAACCACCATCCCTTACGGTGGAGAAATAGCTAGTGGACTTGCCTGACAGTCTAAAAACAGTGACATACCACATCGGTACGAAGACCACTGAAATTTATTCTATAGTCTAAATATGAACTGAATTATAACTCTTTCCCAGAAGTAACTCTTTTAACCGCGGCATTGATCAATAATTTGCTGCTGTTCTTCGTGAACAAATACGAGGTTATTATGTGGAATGGGCAGCCCCTCCCTAAGGGATTACCCGTGAAAGCTTTTCCATGCTTTTTCTATCCGCTGAGAAATTTCGATTAATTCTCAGAGGCCGGTTTCCAAAACTGAGTAACCGTGAATGGTCTTGCTCATTGTGACAAATTCAGAAATTTGCTCACCGTGCACGTTCCGTTCCAGCCTTTGAGAGCTGAAGTTAAGTGTTGGAGACGTAATCTTAGTGCTAATGTTGACCAACAGTGTGGAAGGCGCAAACCACATTGAAGGAATTCTCCAACAGGAAATTTCCGATTGTTGCCTTTACTTGTTCATAGTAATCGACTTTCAATGTTACTTTGTCGAAATGCATCCCAACTTCGTTAGCGTCTTTAATGCTGTATTTTCAGAGAAACAAATGCTCTATAGTAGCAAAAATAGCAAGGTTCCGTCCCTGGGCGATCATATGCTTCGTCGGTGTAAAGGCAGTGAAATTGTTACATCCTACTCTTTTTAGTGAAAAGATAGTCAGTAGTAGCATGCCATGCCCTCAAAGAGTAGTTGTGAAGGTTATTTGTTGACAGCGAATCTATCTCTCCTAAGCGCCACTCGATTGCTGGCTTTAAGTTAAAACAGTATCGAAGGAGAGCAGGAAGAATGAATTTATCTCTTGAATCTATCTACGCATCAAGGTCAACATATAATTGATTTCGGTCCGACATTAAGCTCTCCTTGCTTGAGGTTCCTCAAATGAAGGGGATTAGTTATCGAGATGACGAGGAGTGCGGAACCAGTCGAGAAAATCACGTGACAACGTTGCTGCATGCGCTAAAATTTCGCTACCTACATAAGCTCACTAACGTTATGTTTCAAAGACAATCACTAGAGAGGGACGTTAGAAAGTAGTTCTACAGGATGTGAAGCACACGGCAAGAAAACTTAATGCACATATATCAAGCTCACCGCGTTCACCGAACATTGGCTACAACATTAGTCATACAAGGCTAATGACTAGCCAACATGAGACTTATATGACTAAATTTCTTTTCACACTTCATATTTCATTATTTTGCCACATGGCTCTTTTTGCAAGTTTTTCGTGACCATTCAACCTCTAATCCAAACAGGTGTATTGGTAGGTGTCATCAAGGGAGACTCTATTGTGCAGTCTGAGGAAAACACCTTTCATTCCATTCATCTGATTCGAATGCAGCAATGAGTATTGACATCTGTGTCATAAATGCACGGTACAGCTCAAAACTTGGTGGCATTTCATCGCCATAGCAAATCACTAAGTAAACTTGTATAGTCGTGCTTTTAATATGTAAAAAGACTAGTCGCACAAACAGTGGACATTCATCACTGTGTTTCACTAAAGTCTGCCTTTGTAAAGCACACAATTTTTTACATAAACTGACATCAAGTGTTGTATGTGTCCTTGCACTTCTTGGATTCGATTCACTCCGCCATGTCAATCATTCACGAAGAAGTTCGGACTCCTCGCATAACTCGGCTGTTGCTTGAGGATATTTTCGTTACGAATGTCGTTGAATGCGGATGAGCCGATTTTCCTTGAAATTCTGGGAATACCGTTCTACCAAATTCCAAAGTGGATTGCTGGGAATGAGATATTCCCACAAATGTCTTGCACCAACACTATGGTGGTGGCCTAGGGGTTGGGTCGAACCAGCACTTGGGCTAGTTGGGCCTTGCTACGGAGCGAGAGCTACCACCTACGGTGCCAGCCGTCTCCTTGACAACACAACATCAACTCTTATTCTTATAAGCTTTCAGTGACGTTGTAAACGTTGTGTTCCCAAACAACTTCTATAATATAAGGCGGAATTATTGACAAGTCCCTTACACGATAATGATTTTCCAAGAAAAAGTAAATGCGAACAAAAATATGTGTTGCACTGGTTACGTCCACCTTTTACCTTCTCGGTAATGTGACTCAACAAATCTGCGCAATCCTAGATAACTGCTTATAAGAGCCGATAAAACTTCTCTTTTTCTGTTGTTAACCAAAGTGTTTCAGAAAATGGCTACATGTGCGTGCAAACAATTAGTGTTCTGCCTATTCAAGTCACATTCGAATTGATTTGAATCTAGTAAACACAGACGTTTTTGCTTGATTTCTCCAATTCAATTTCTCTTGACAATATAGACAAGCGAAATGGCCGTCTTGTAAGTTCAGCGACTGCCGTGGAACCTTCTGCTCCTTGAAATCACCATGGTGAGAATGTATGAGTATAGAATGGACAGAAGTGAATATCCTGAGAAACCGACTAATAAGGGCTGATAACCCCGTTACTGGACGATGGATGAGTTCTTCCCGATATATAAAGAGTTGGAACTGTTTATAAAGCTCAGAGAAAGAGATATTTTAAAGGATACGTAGGATACATAGACAAGTGAATTTTTTAAAATTTCTTCAACAGCTGCCAGAACCCATGACCTATTTATCCCTTGTCCATCTTTGTTGGTTCTTCATCCATTGCATTGTGAATTCTTCGACGACGGGAAGCATAAAATATTCTATCGAATACAGAATTCAATCCGGCCACCGCTGACACGACTCAAACCTGTGCACTTCAGTTTTAGACCAGCCACTGTTACATGTCCGGGTGTTCATTATATCTGCCGATTGATTACCATAACTCTCAATCACTACAGGAATTGTTCGCTTATTTCCAATTACTATGGTGCTTGAATGATATTGTATGGACCGTTAGATATACAAAACTTTAAAAAAAAACAGAGAAGCAAGCGCCGCACATTTTGCAAAGCTTTACCGAAGACAAGAATGTGACTGGATGGTGAGCAAAATCTTCTTTTTCATCAAATACAAGACTTCCTAATTTTAAGGAATAGGTGATTGCATAGACAAAAACGGGATAAATTTGGTCGATGTTGTCCCATGTGCCTCCACACAGAAACTGTTGTCGTCGTCAGTGTGTTAATGGGGATAGCTGTTACAGATTACTACTGCATCTCTGTATCTAATCCATCTAAGAGGGTTACCAGGAAGGTTACGTGACATCTCCGCAGGTGGCGGTTCATTACGCGATAAAAAA